GCCGCTTGGCATAGAAAATATTAGAGCTGAAATAAAAAGATACCTGGTCAGATAATATATCTGTATACAAACATAAGAAGTTTATAAAGCAAAAAATTGTGAACTCACTTGCCTAACGATAGAAGAGGACCTTGATTTAAACAGGCAATTTTGAAACATGTTAGTATGAAAAAAAAAAACCCAACCAGTTAATGGGATACTGTAATAGGAAAGATAGATAGGCCATGGAGTTATGGCTGTGTATATAAACCCTGTCCCTAAAAGATAGCAACAGTCTAGTGAGATAAAAGTCCTGAAAGGAAAGAACTGCACAGTGGAATACGAAATCCCAAGCTGCAGAAATGAAAATAAAACATAAAGCTATACTACCACTCCTTGGCTCAGGAGAAGAGTATTGGTTGCATAACATTAACAAGATCAAAAAAGCAGAAAAGTCTCACACAGCATAATGATAGGAAAAGCTTCAACAGCCCCCCCCCCCCCCCCAAACCTCAACACCCCCCCCCCCCCCCCACAATACTGAAAATAGTCAGTTTACAGAAACAATTTCTTTTTAGTACATATTTGTATTTTTTAACAGCTAGTTCTAGAACACAAAAGGGGAGTTTATTCTCAACCTAATCTAAATAACAGAGGCATTAATTCAAGAACTAACATTAAATAAGTACTTAAATAAGACACCTGATACAAATAGAAAGTGTTGTTATAGAACTCCACTCCACTGTGCTTTGGCCTGCTACATCCCTTGTATATCGATAATATTTACTTCTGCCAGTGGGATGCTCTTCTCCATAAGGAAAATTCTCTGCTGGCTGTTTCTGGCAAGAATCCATCCACAAATCACTTTCTATGTGGCTTGTACCTGTCAGTCTTAATTTGCTCTCTTTCATTTATTCTATATATTATCACAGTAATTTGACAGGTTGCTTTAAGGGATAGATCCCAATTTATTTGAATTTTAAACATAGAAAATAAAACTTCCTTATGAATGTCTGGTGGTGAACGCAGGACTGGTACAATAATAAGGGTCTCTCTAAATATAGCATATTGCCAATACTTTTAAAGCCAGGTAGTTAGTTACACACTCATAGTTGAGCATCCCATTAAAAATGGCCTGACTTTCAGAAGTGGTGAAAACCCACAAATCATTGTAAAGTCATACAGGCATTGAAATGTGTTCAGCATCTTTGAAAACTAAATGGTATTTATTAAAATACCTAAACATGGATTTAAGAACCTAACTTTGCAAGTGTTTGTCTACATGAATAGTTACTGTCTACTTTGTATATCCTCATTAACACAGAAATATTCTAGCTTTTAATTTGTATCCCATCTGCAGAGTTGCGTAACTGCATAACAGGTGAAATGCCTACAAGAGACAACAAGTATTTTTAAACAACAGAATTTATGGAAGCATTTGATGGAAGCAGCCATATATGTTTTAGTTAATTATGTAAAAACTGTAGGTTGGATTTTTGTGGTAAGTTAGAAAATTCTCTTTGTCATAGAAGTTCAGTGAAATAGTACTATATTCTTACATTATGGTTTATTCAGTGCCAGATTTAGGCACAAACTAAGTAACCTACAGCTTAGGGCCTCACATTATGAGGGGTCTCTAAATAAGGAGAGAAAAAAAATACAGTTAATCTCACAAATCCAACATGCTCGAGACCAAGCACGTGCCAGAAATTTGAAAATGTCGGTTTTTTAAACTGGCACTGCAGCTGAGGAGTTGTAGGATAGCGGCGGCCGGTCTGGAAGCAGCAGCCACATGCAGAGCAGTGGCATGAGGTGCTTAATGGGGGGGGCAGCAGCCACATGCAAATTTCCTCCGCCTATTCCAGTTTGGCTGTGGGGGGAGTGGTGGCTGGTCCCAAAGCGGCAGGGGAAGTACCAGATTTTTTTGGTAATGCTATGGGGCCTCTTAAGCTTGACATAGTTTAGGGCCCCAGCATGTCATAATTTGGCTCTGGGTGTATTTGTTTCAGATCTATAGAAACATTACTCAGACATTTACTTGCAAGGGAAATAATAATAGAGGCATTTGTATCAGTTCTTAATTGTATAAGTTCTTAATTCTTTAGTATCTGGGGTTCCTCCTACATTTCAAAGACCTGGTTTCTTTACATGGGCTACAAATGTCTTTGCTGTTTATTAGTGGCAGAAAAATCTCACTTTAGAAAAAAAAATCACTCTTTTTCTATTGCCATCTGAAATCAGTCTTAAAGAAAAAAAAAAAAGAAAATCTTGAGCCAGTGGAAAATAACTCATTATAATATTATCACTGAATTAAATTATCAGACAGGGTTAATAAATAAAAATAATTAGTAAACAAAACCCACCATGGAGGAAATCTTTCATATTTGTTTGGAGTGCCAAAGGGCGAATGGAAATCTGCTTTCTAATTTTGTAAAAATCAAAATAAATAAATAGAAATCAATTAGGTGTGATTGTATGTCAGGAATTAGTTTCCCTAAAAGAAGGAAAACATAAAGAAAAAGCTCCCACATCCCTCTTTCCAGCAAGTTGCTTTCATATGCTCAACATATGGTATGTCTCAGGACAATTTGATGCTGAGATTGTTTAAGTACTTAACAGATTCTATGCCAGCCAGTGAGAAGATGAGAAGGAGTAAGGGTGTCATACATTTAGCCCCAAGCAGAGGCTGGGTACACTCATAGGCTCCAGTTCTGTAAACATTGAAATACAGGGTTGACTTTAAACATACAAGCAGCTTCTTTGCTTTAAACACGACTACTAAACTGAGCAAAGTTAGGTACAAGTTAGGAGGGGGTAAGTAGGGAAGGTGGGGAAAGAGATGAAGGGTGTAGGGGGGCCAGGGGAAGGAGAGCATGGGGAGGGGGGCAGGAGTAGAGGGGGGAAGAGAGAGGAAGGTGAGGGGGAAAAGCAGGTGGATGGCAAGTTGCCAGGCTGCTACCCACTCCACCGCTTGGATTGCCCCAGCCCCTCCCCCACAAACCTCCAACCCCCGAATCATCCCCTTCACTCCCAAATCTCTTCCTTGCCAATCCACCCTGACACCTGTACATTGCCCTACTGCTTCAAACATCTCTTCTGCTCCCCCACTGCCTCCCCCAATAGTCTCTTCTGCACCACATTGGCCCCTCCACCCCTGGCTCTCTGTCCTGCCACCTTGATCAGTTTGGGTGGCAGCAAGCCAGAGGGTGAAGAGGTTCTCCTGTCCTGGCCACTCCCAGGTTCCCTGCAGACCACACTGCCCCCACATGCTAAAATCCAGCCAGTTGAAGTTAGGCTGGGAGGGAGGGGGGTTGAGGAGCTAGGAGGTGCTGGGCCCAGCAGGGGCTAGATTTGGGTGCACAGGGACAGCATGGGCTACAGGGAGCAGGCAGGAAGTGGGAACTACCACCGCCGCTGTTCTTGGCCTGATTGGCAATGGCAGGGCAGTGATCCAGGGTGGAGGGACCAACTAGGAGAGGCTATCCAGGGAACAATGGGAGAGTAAGCAGGGGAGACAATTTGGGGGCTAGGTCATTTAGGAGGCTAGGAGGTGATTCAAGTAGCACGGGAAGAGTTCCTTCCCCCTTTGCTCCCTGGCCTATATTGCAGCTGGAGAACCCGCAACTAGGGCAGGCACAGAGCAGACTTGCAGCACCTAGCCACACAACTGTTCACCAGCCCTCCAGCAGCAGATCTGAGCAGTACATGTTAGAGAGGGTATTAACACTTTACATGCCACTGTGTTAATGTGCTTAGCAAGACTGTGCTAATGCTAATACTGACTAACATTACTTATAATTAGTACTTAATAACTATAACATGTAATCTTACCCTAAGGCTAGGGATAGACATTACAAATAAACCAGTTTAGGTGATCAGGAACTGGCTTAAACCTATAACAGAACAGATGTTCAGTGCACATAACCCAGTTTGAGAATGGCTGAAACTGGTTTGAGATAAACCTGGTTGAATGTAGTATCAGACTCAACTGATTTGGCTCAAACTGGTTTATGCAATGTCTGTCCAAGACCCCTTGTTGGTTTCAGTTAAACCAGGCTCCCCCAGGACCCCGGCATGCTCTCTAAGCTTGGTGGGGCTCTCTGATCCACATCAGGGATGGCCCCTCCTCTCTGCTCCCTGGCTGCAGCTTTGGCAGTCTCTGCAGGCATCTGTCTGACTTCTGCTTCCCCCACCCCCTCCTGCTAAGCAGGTATCCCCCCCATCCCTTACAGACACCTCTCAGTATTAGCTATCAGACCACATGCTGAGCTGTGGCACTCAGGACAGAGACAGAATCAACAGATCACTGCTAATGTCCCCATTTTCTTAATGGGATGATAAACATTGAGTTAGAGGTGATAAACATTCCCTGCTGAGCTGTTCAGGAGTGGGGTGGTGGGAACCCTCCCTAATCACAGCATCCTGCCAGGTCCTGGCCATGCCCCCTCAGCTCAGCTCTGTGCAAGGGAAGGGACAGCTGCTCTAGTGCCCTCCAGCTTCTAGCCTGAGCCACTGCAGGCATGTGCCTGCATTTCTGGGATGTCTGTCTGGTTACAAAACTGATTTAGCCTAGCCAGGTTAAACTAACCTGAAAAGATTGAATCAATTCAGGCTCAGGCTTTTTGAATGTCTGTCCCTAGCCTAAAAGTTTAGAGGATTTGGGCCGCAGTCCATGAATACAAGAACTGTGGGGTTCTTGCACCTACAGAAAACTAGAAACCTCAGAAATGATGGAGAGAGAAGGGGAAGACCATTATCCTGCCCATTACACACATTTGCAAAAACAACCTTTGAAGGAGTGGACAATACAAGTTCTAGTGTATGAAAAGGTAACGATGCAGACATTATCTCTACTAACTCCAGGTGGTATTGTACCTGAGGAACGCATCTCTCAGGGATCCCACTAGGAAAGTGACTTAAAAAGCCACTATTGAATTCCATCTACTTTTTAGTTTATTTTTAACATAACAAAAGTTTTCTGAATTATATCAGTATTACACATAAAAACAGAGAATGCTCACCTTATTATACAAACTGTTGTGACTGTAAGGACTATAAGAATTCTCAGGAACATCACATAGGATGCAAGACAAATGACTGAAGGGTCCAGGGGTTAGAGAGTCAGCACGGGAGATAGACTGTGGATGTAATGGGGACTGAGTTGGAGGGATCGGTTTAGTCAGATACAGAAGGTAGCGGGGAGCAGTGTCCTAGAGAAAAGAGAATTTTGTTAGTGGGGGGGAAAAAAAGCCTTGTATAGAAACTTGCACTGTCTTCTCAGGCCTTGCTTACGGTAGAGAAATGCACTGGCACAGCTATGTTGGTAAACCCTCCTAGAGTAGACAAAGGTTAGCCTATTTGTATGAAATAGGCTATGCCAGATAAGAGGAAAAATTGTGGGATTGGCATGTACACAAATCAACCTTCTGACTGTGGTTTAGTGAAAGCTGAATGCACCACTGCTTTTCTGCCACTGATTCAATTATGCAGTCCCAGGATAACTGTTCAGACATACTTTGCAATGCCCTCAGACAAACTATTAGTACTTATAATTCCATGAATCTTTTTAGGATTTAACCCAGGACAAAGGACATGGATATCTGAACAACTGCACTTTATCCCAGGATAAAATGGTTTATTCTGGGACAAATTTCCCCTGTGTTCATAGCAAAGGTCTCAAAATGAATGTCATCCTCATCAACACCATTTCACAGTGTCAAACAGGCAGGCTTGGCAAGAAGTTCAGAGAAAAAAAAATCAATCAAATGGCACAATTAAGATATTATCTACTTTACCTGGATTTTTTTTAGGTTCTACCACTAACACATATTGTCACTTCAGGGATCTTGTAGGTGTAGGAGAATGATGGCAGCATGACTTGAGAGATGGTAAGTTTGTAAGAAGAGGAGATAGGCAGACAAGGAAGAGGAGAAGAATACTAAAACTAGGAGAACAAATTGAATGATGGTGCTATTTAAAAAGTGATTAGCTACTTCTAAAGCTCTGATTTCTATGATAAAGGAGGAAGGACAAAGGCAGTAAAAATTTGCAATTATATCATGCATAATCTTGCAGGATTCAATCTCACATAAGCAAGGGAGCTTGAGTCAGAGAGCTTAACCAAAGAAATATCATCATTGGCTATCTAAAAAGAAGTTGACTGAAAAAAAAGAAATCAAAGTCTTGATTTGAGAGGAGGGTCATCCATAAAAAATGTGAAGGAAGCATTTAGATTTTGTATTCCCCTTTGACTTTCAACAATATTATAGTAGTAGCCATTGGGAAGAAAAAAGATGAATTTGTCAAGTGGTCCACTTAGATAAGGTCTTTAGATCAAAGAATTATCCACTAAATATATTTAAGTATTGCATTTTTTTAACAGATTCAAGTGTTTTAAAGAATAAGTGTTTGGGATTTAGTCCATTATAGTAAGTGGAGTCATAGTAGTAACATTGTTACGTATTTGGCTAAACTTGGATATTCCCAAAAACATCTACAAAGAATATCCCCATAGATGTGTGTCTGAAAACTTTGTAGAACTACTCTTCTGATTCATAAGTTATCCTACGTTTTCCATGGAATTATGCCAATTTAAACCAGCTTCTACTGTGGCACTTAGTCACTATTCTCCATCATCCCTGGACTTCTTTTCCTTTCTCTATACAAATAAAATCCATTTCTTTCTGATAAACTCATTAATCTATTTGAGCAGAACCTAATTAATGCATGTTGTTTCTCATTAGAGCAAGACTTTATAGATAAATATCACTGAAAAATTATAAGTCTTTTACAACAGATTTATAATATATAAATATAATATATTTATTATGAAATAAACTTTTCCTTTTGTCACAGTCAGAAGCCTATTTATTAAGTGAAAAAACTATTTTTTATTTAGCTGAGTCTTATTCTGGCTTTTGTTATAACAGTCAGATTTTTGCACTGTTTTATTACTTTCCCAAAACTTCAGTAATACTACTCCAAACAGATATCAATTAGAGATCTGCAAAAGACTGCATACAGATATAATGTGTTTTCTGTTGTTATGTAGGATGAAAAAATACTAAATCTCTCAGTAAAAGTCATGGGAGGTAGGGATAAATAACTCAAAGTATTTCCCAAGTAATATGTCTTGACAAAGGGCTGGCTTAGAATACCTCATGAGCTCCCTTCCAACCCTACTTTTCTATGATCCTATGTCAGTTGGAGATATATTAATGATACTGTGCCATCTTATCTTTGAAACCAGATGCACTCAATCATAGAAATCCTTGACTTTCAAGACAAGTATATTCTACATGTATGCTTAGCAGTGGTCTGACAATTCCTACTGTCAATAGTAGGCCAACACTGGATGATTCTGAACATTATAGTTATATCATTTAAACCTAGGAAATTGTTTTATAGTTTTGGAACAAAAATAAAAATTCGGTAATGTGACACTTTATTTATTTATTTATTTATTTTTACTTATAACAAGCCTATCAACAGATGGAGATATGTATACAACAAAATACAGCACCATCACCAATAGAATTTATATCTTAAATTAATGCCATAAATTAATTTGGTCACCATGGCTAATGTTCAATGTCAGAAAAATGCAAGAAACAAAATCCAGCCTGTCTTTGTCTTAAGATACAGAATTTCTTTACTTTATTAAGAGTACTGTGCCACACAAGACGAAATTCATGGGTAGGGTCAGCTACCAGATGATGAGTGGAGTTGGCAGCAAAGATAGGGAAGGAGACAAGATAGCCTAGAGTCATGGAAGAATAGTTTAGAGATTACTTAGAGAAGGTGGATGCTTTCAAGTTGGCAGGGCCAGAGGGGATACACCCTACTATGCTGAGGGAATTGCCTGAGGAAACTTTAGAGCCATGAGCCATACTCTTTGAGAATTCGTGGAGGTTGGGCACCTTCCTTGATGATTGGAAAAGGGCAAAAATAGTACCCAATCCTCCTGACTTGAATCCCAGAAAAGATCATGGAGCAGGTCCTCAAGGAATTTTTTGTGAAGCACTAGAGGAAAATAAAATGATCAGGAATCGCCAGCATTGATTCACCAAGAGCAAGTTATGCTTGACTTCCTTCTATGATAAAGTGACAGGCTCTGTGTACAGGAAGTGGGGGGAGAAGACAGTAGTGGATGTTTTATACCTTGACTTTAACAAGGCTTTTGACACCATCTCCCATAGCAAATTAATAAATTATGGACGAAAATGCAGACTAGATGAAAATACTGTAATTTGGTTATATAACTAGTTGGACCATCATGTTCAGCAAGTAGTCATTAATAGATCAATGACTAGTTGGTAGAAGGTTACAAGCAGGGTTCCCCAGGGGTTTGTTCTGGGGTTGGCATTATTTAATATTAATGATTTGGTATTAAGTGCGTGCTTAACAAATATGTAGATGACACCAAGTTGGATGGAATTGCAGACACTCTGGAGGGTAGGACTGAGATCCAGAATAACCTGGATAAACTAGAGAAATCATCCACAATCAATCAGATGAAATTCAACAAACACAAATGTGAAGTTCTGCACTTGGGATGGAATAATTGCATGCACAAATAGAGACTGAAAAATAACTGTCGAGGTAGCAGTACTGCAGAGAAGGACCAGAAGGCTATAATAGACCATAAGCTGAATATTCGATTGTAACAGCATGCTCTTTCTTTTCTTTTCTTGTCAACAAAAGAGACAACCCAGTCTACTGGAGTGTATTAACAGAAGTCTCTTGCATATCAAGAGAAGTGATTCTTTTACTCTGTTCAGCACTGGTGAGATCTTGCCCAAAGAACTGTGTCTAGTTTTGGGGCCACACTTCAAGAAAGGTGTGAACAGATTGGAAAGAGTCTGGCAACGAGCAAAAAAATAAAAAAATAATGATTTGGTCCCTGGAAAACATGATTTACAAGGAAAGCCTGAAAGAATTAGGTTTATTTAATCTGGAGAATAGAAAACTGAGGGTGTTCTGATAACAGTTTTCAAATACCTGAAGGGCAATTATAGAAAGAATGCAGATTGATTACAAGACTAGGAAAATGGCCATAAGCTACAGCACAGGAAATTTATGTTGGATATTAGAAAGAACTTTCTGACTCTGAGGGTGGTCAGGAATTGGAACAGGCTACCCAGGGAATGTCCATCACTGGAAATTTTCAAGGGGAGGTTAGACAGACAATGGGTTGGGCTGTTTTAAAATCAAGGATGAGCTTGCCTTTAGCAAACTGATTAATTTAGGTTTAAATTACACCTGTTTATCATGACCTCATTGGATTTTTCTTCAACAATATTTCTCATTCAGTGTATAATGTCATCCCCAACCTCCCCAAGGGTTTAGAAAAGATGATGTAGGAGGTCAAAAGGCGTATGATGAAGTGATTATAGCATTTTTATTATGATGATTTAAAAGCAATGTTTTCTTCCATTATCAAACATATCACTTAAAGTAATATCATTAAGACCACTTCATAATGATACGTATTCTTTCTGAGGCATTTGTTAGTTTTGGATAAACTGACTCAGACTAACTTGATGTATGTGATTTTTATTTTACTTTTTTCATTCCTCCCCATTAGGCTAATTCCATTGACCTTCCCAATAAAGATGCCTTGGTGTAAATGAACACTAAATTTATTTGTAATAACAATGGGCTCTAAATCCTGTCTGTGTAGAGCTAGATTTTAGTGCCTCTTTAGAGGAAAGGACTTGGCACCTAATCCCCAGATGTAGCCATCCTAATGTTAATGATTGTTTTATAATATTGTATGTGATGTGCTATAAGGGTTCATCTACACATTAACCTATGGCGATGTTATTACTGCACTGTGCTTTAGTACTTCCTTTTGGAAGGACAGTAACTGCCCATATTGCACTGTATATAATTTTTTTCTATTATACATTGCAACAAGATACAGTACTGCACTGGCTATCTCTACTGTTGATGGTCAAAAACACACATTCTTAATATGATTAAAAAAGGATGATATACAGATATTTCAGAATAACTATGATCACAATTGTATACAATACAGGTCTGTATTTCCTTATCCAAATGCCAAATCAGACAAAAATAATACATCATCTAAACTGGTTCAGTTTTAATAGTAGACTATTTAAGTTAAAAAAAAGAAAAAAAAAAGAAAAAAAAAAAGAGGGAAATGCAAATGGTGCCAGTGAGCTAGATCCAATAAAACACTAATGTGCACAAATCAAGACTTAGGCAGAATTATGGAATCCAAGTTCAGAGTTAAGATCTAAAATGTCTGCTCATTGGGCATCAAACATGGCAGTATCTGAACTCATGAGGAAACTACCTGTTTGCTTCTACAGTTCCTTAGGCACCTGGGCTAGGGACAGACGTTACACATAAACCTGTTTAAGTGATCAGAAACTGGTTTAAACCTGTAACAGAACATAAATTCAGTGCATATAAACCAGCTTCAAAATGGCTGAAACTGGTTTAAGATAAACCTGGTTGAATGTAGTATCAGACTTAACTGATTTGGGTCAAACTGGTTTATGCAATGTCTGTCCCAGACCCCTTCCTGGTTTAAGTTAAAACAGAGTTCCCCAGCATCCCAGATGCTTTGCAGCCCTGGGCTGGGCTCTCTGCTCCAGAAAACAGGCTGGCCCCACCCATCCCTTGTTTAGCCAGAGCTCGGGGGCAGAATGCGTGCCCGGCAGAGTCTGCCTGGCACGAACACCTCGAGAAAGAATTCTAGGTTCTGGATTCCACTGCATAAGCAAACTTGCTACCCAGCTCTGGCTTTGGGATTCATGCTGGGAGTTAGGTTCCTAGATCCTATATTGGATTTCACCCAATTCTTTACTATTTCTTTTCTGAAAATAAAAGAATTTGTCCAAAATAATAGATCAAGATTCAATTAATCATCTTATATGGGAATGACAACCACCAAAGCCCCTTGAGAATGTTTAATTAGAAAACGTACCTGTTCAATATCTGGGTCTCTGCTTTCTTCAAGATATTTTTTGAAAGGGTTTGGTTGATATGGTTCCTCTTTTTTTAACAAGATTTTTGTTTTCACTGGTGCTGGACGAATGACACCAGGTTTTGTCTAGAACCACAGCAAGTCATGGAAAGAAAAAGACAGATTAATAAAACTTAAGTATCAATAATCTATAGATCTTATTTGGTCAAGCATGGTGCCATCCAGGAGTAGAGAAAGGTAGTTAGCCATGTTAGTCGGTAGTCAAACATGGCAGTACCCTGCTAGTTTCTGAAGTGCCACCCTGCCTTATCTTCAACTTCAGACCAACACAGCTAAGTATTTCTCTCTAGATGCTATTTGTTAGCTAGACCAGTTCTAGTACTATAGAAGCTATTATATTTCAAAGATTTCATTTAAAAAAATTCAATCACAAAAATGATTCCATTTTCTTATCGACTGGCCTGTTTTTATTGCAAAATGCAGAAAAAATGTGACATCAACTATTTTTGTAGCACAGAAACCTCTTCATTAAGATCCATTTGTTATCAGCACAAAAATAGAAGCTAGACTGTCAAACTGTTGTTTGTGCAACCTTTTGCTATCTGTTCAACTGCATCCTAATGACTTAATCAAGTCACAGTTTATGCACAGCCACATGCCTGTTTACACATAGCAAATTCCATTATGAAGTTTTCAAAAAGGCAACTGAAAAATAAACAATAAAAAGGCCAATTGGTGATGTAGGTATCTTTACTGATACCCAGGCACTACCATATGGAAATAAAGCACTTTTTAGTAAGCCAAAACTTAAATTCCAGACAAATATCATGTGAGATATCCAAACATACCAGATATGAATTTAAAACAGATGAATAACAGAAGCTTAGCATCCATTGGCACAGATGTAATTAGAACTCTCTATGCTAATACCGCAATATATTCACTCTTTAATCATAGGGGAGAAATGAAGAAAGGAATGAGTGGAAAGGGATATTCACATGCTTCACAAGGTGGGGTTCCTGACTACAAAACAAGACTCCTGACCATGAAAACAACTGAAATCTGGTTTAATTCCATATCACAGAGACAGACAGAAAGCCTCAACAGACTAGTCACTGGTCCAAAGGGCAGGACTTTACCCTAGGAGTTAGGAAGCATGGGTTGAAAACCCTGCTCTGAATTTGGCAGATCTGAGGCTCAAACCCCCATGGGAGTGCCTGATAAATATGTTTGTGTAAAAAGTTTGATTTTCTGGCAAAAGCCTTTTTGTCAAAATTGCTGACCAGCACTTCCACAAAGATTTGACTGTTGCCCATTCCTAATGTTTGGGCTCCACTATCTCCATTTCAATTTGACCAGAATTATCATATGATAATCCACACAAAGAGGAAGAGGCAAAACTGCAGGGTACATAGTAGCTAAAATAAAATCATCTAAGAATACAAGATGAAGGAGTAATTTTTCTGTCTTTATGGGTAAATGCCATCAGGTCTAGAGATTAACTATTCCCAGGAACTGGTCTCAGACTGTACAGTGAATTCACCCAGGAACTAAGAAAAAACACAAAGTTCCCCACCTTCAGTTCAAAGAACAATTCTTCAAACTTGCCTTTTCTAACAAACACAGAGCAGTCTATACATAAAAAAGAACTTCTTCTCTTTCTTTTTTTCTCTCTGTCTTCCACCCTCTCCCCCCCAAAAAACAAAACAAAAGTCTATAGGTTAAATAGCTTTAAAATTGCAAAGTCAAGCTCTCCAAAGTTAGGAAACACTAGAATTAAGGCTGCTTGTGCATTTATTTGCCCTACCCTGTCCCAATCTCAGTCTTGCCTCTTTCCCACTCCAGTACCATGCCCATCCTATTGGCCTCAGCTACTCTAGTCTCCATTAATCAGTCATCTAATCCCAGTCCTAGTCTGTCTAGAAAGCCCTCTTGACTTCCTATCCTTGTCCCTTCCCACACTCAGCCCCTGTCACATTTTTCCAGACATTTCAAGCATACCACCAAGTGCCTGGCTCCTGACCCTAGTCTCTTTACCCAGTCTCAGTTTCCCCTCTTCCTGGCTCTTGCTTTCATCTCTCCCCCATCTGTTTCATTCAGCCCTGATCTCTAGTCTCTGAGGTGAGAATCAGGCTGCACAGAAAGTCCTGCTTCGCTCCACACTTTGACACGCTTCGTGCAAACAGAATCTTCGAGGAATTTAGCTCCAAGAATCAAAATTTCTGCTTGTCATGGGCTAACCACAATTTTTCTAAGAGTTGTAACTTGGGTGGGTTTTCATGGGAACAGCAAAAGTTTTTTTCCCTTGCAAAAAACCCCCAGTCCCTGTTAATTTTCAAGTCCCAGATACAAAGGATGGGCATAATTGTGCTTTTCAACAAAAAGGCTGCTAGAGATTTTTAGCTGACAAAAATCTCAGTTTATAGCAGATAATCCATATGAAAAATTTTACCTCAGAAGAGTTAGTATTGGCAAAGTTCTAAGCGACTGAAAAACAGTTTTATTTTATTTTATTTTATAACCCTAATTATACATGGTGGGTGCATCTACATGTGCACTTTACTGCAGACTTGACTAATTAGTTCTACAGCAAAGTTTCACCATTCACATATGTACCGGTATTAGAGTGCTGTAAATTAATTACAAAAAACAGCAGCTTAGAATGGTGTCTACGAGGAGTGCTGCTAGGGCCTCTGCCCAGGGGGACAAGGCTAGCCGGGGCTGGTCTGAGGCCTCCACCCAGACTGAGCCCATGGGGGAGCTGATGTCCCCCTACCTCCTGGACTGTGGGGGATCCCCAGCAGGGCCAGGGGGGGCAGAGATTGGGGGCCCCCACACCTGTCTGGCAGGTGCCTGTCTTAGGGCTCTGGAGGCGCAGGTGAGGGAGCTCCAGGAGGAGGTTAGCAGGCTGAGGGGGATCAGGGAGGCGGAGGATGAAATTGACAGTTATTTCCTGTCCCTGCAGGATCAGGCACCAAAAGAAGCAGCAGCCCGGGGAATGCCCTCCGCAGCAGAGTGGCAGACAGTCACAGCCAGGACCGGAGCAGCTCGCAGAGAATTGGTACTAGCTTCTCCAGTCCGACTAGAGAACAGGTACGAGGCCCTGGCGACCCTGCAGGAGACAGAAGGGGAGGAGGAAACCCTTGGGCAGGAAGAAACACCATATTCTTCACACTCTGAACAGGTCAAGAGATCCAAGAGGACCCAGAGGAGGAGGC